GGTTCTGACCAGCTCCCGCGCCCAACCCGAAGCGAAACTCTTGGTTTCCACCTCAGGGCTTGGCAAGCGTTTTCCATGGATTCGGAGGGCTCTGCTCGCAGACTAGGGGGGAGACACAGAAGAATCTGGACCCCAGAGCATGAGCACACCTGCTCTTCTGTGGGAGAGAGCTGCTGAGATAGCTGAGAGACACGCCAGCCCTCCCTCCCTCCCTCCCTCCCTCCCTCCCTCCCTCCCTCTCTCTCTCCATCCCTCTCTTTCCCTCTCTCCCTCTCTCTCTCTCTCCCTCCCTCTCTCTCCTCTTTCCTTCTCTCTCCCTCTCCCTCTCTCTTTCTCTCCCTCTCTCCCTCCCTTGCTCCCTCCTCTTTCTCTCTCTCTCCCTGTCTCTGTCTGTCTGTCTCTCTCTCCTCTCTCTCTCTCCCTCCCTCCCTCCCTCCCTCTCTCTCTCCTTCCCTCTCTTTCTCTCTCCCTCTCTCTTTCTCTCCCTCCCTCTGTCCCTCCCTCTCTCCCTCCCTCTCTCTTTCTCTCCCTCTCTCTCTCCCTCCCTCCCTCTCTCCTCTTTCTCTCTCTCCCTGTCTCTGTCTCTCTCTCTCTCCTCTCTCTCTCCCTCTCTGCCTCTCTCTATCTCTTTCTCTCTGTCTCTGTCTGTCTGTCTGTCTGTATATCTGTCTCTCTCTCTCTCTCTCTCTCGTCTCACCTGTCCTCTGTAGAGCAATGCAACTTTGCCGTTTCTTTTTCTTTCTTTCTTTCTTTCTTTCTTTCTTTCTTTCTTTCTCTCTTTCTTTCTCTCTTTCTTTTTTTTCTTTTTGGATCACACCTTGTGGTGCTCAGGGGTCACTCCTGGCTCATGCACTCAGGAAATACTCCTGGCGGTGCTCAGGGGACCATATGGGATGCTGGGATTTGAACCCGGGTCAACCGCGTGTAAGGCAAACAAACGCCCTCCCCGCTGTGCTATTGTTCCAGCCCCAACCTTGCTCTTTCTGGGCCTGGCATTCCGCTATCCCTCTTTCTTCATGAAGCCCTTCCCTAGAACACGCATCTGCCAAGAGCGGCTTCTGTGGCCGCGGAGAGAAACCCTGTTTGAAATGGTTTGCAGGGGGCCCATGTGGACGCCCAGCTTGGGACTGAATCCGTGGGGCCTCCAGTGTTGCTCCCTCAGGGGTAGCCTGAAGCCGTCAGACTTGCTTCATCGTCCCGCGCGGTGCCCCTCTCTCCTTGATTCGATTCCTACCACACTGTGCCCTGGAGAACGGGAGGAGTCTCTGCTCCACAGGGCACAGGAACAGAGAAGAACACTCCTCTCGCACCCAACAGCAGCCTCCCACCTTCCTCCCCTTGACGGCTTCCTCCCTGCGCTCTAGTACTGGACCCTGGGTGGAGGTGGACTGTCCACTTGCCTGGTCCTCTGGAGGGGAAGGGAGCCTTGGAATTCATCTCATTCAAACACACACCCCCTCCCCCCGCCCAAGGAATGCTGAGTAAGCAGCTCCGTACTCCCGCCCAGGTCTGGGAGAGGTGAGGAAGAGGAGGAGGATGAAGGAGTAGGTGTCTCGCCCCGTGAGTCCCTGCCTGAGGCCGGCGGGGATGGGACTCAGAGATGCCCCCCCCCCTTCTTCCAGGCCGCCCCTAAAGCTGAGATCTGGGCAGGAAATGCGGGCTTACCAGGGAGCTAGTTTATTTTGAGTCATTTCAGAGCAGGGACCGAGGGCCCCCCAAAGCCACCTCTGCCGCGTCCCAAGCAGACCACTGTGTTTAAGCTGGACAGGGGTCCACCCACCACTCATCGGAGCTGTTCCCGTGGAGTCACTTACTCCCACAATGGTGCTCAGAGCGGGGTCTTTCTCGCTGGATCATGATGTGGGTACGGTGCAGTGTTTCATCCCAACCCTGCCGGCCACGTGTTCCTGTGGCTTTATCTGTCCCCTACCAAGTAAAAAAAAAAAAGGTCTCTCTGCACAAGTCGCTTTCCTGACCCAGGTGCTAGAGTGAGGCAGACGCGCTCCCCTGAGGCGAGTGGAGAAATGCAGGCAGGGAGGGGCTCAGAGGGGCACTGGGTGCCCAACAGACACACGCTAGACACATGAGGAACTCTTCTGCCTGAAGCCCCATCACTGAATCCCCTATCCCTCATGGCTGCCTCCAAGAAAGGAGGAACTAGGGGGCACTTGGGGTCTTTCCTCTGTCATCAACTTTTCCTGCTCTCTCTTTAAATTAGGGCCGTGGAGGACATGCAACCCGGCGACGCACTGGGGTTACTCCTGGATCTGCACTCAGAAATTACTCCTGGCGGTGCTCGGGGAATCATATGGGATGCTGGGACTCGAACCCGGGTCGGCCGCGTGCAAGGCAAATGCCCTACCCCTACCTGCTGTGCTATCGCTCCAGCCCTTCAACCTTATCTCTTTCGTCTTCTCAGAACCCAGGGGCTGTGGTTAAAAAAAAAAAAAAACACAGAACTTTGGTTTGGTTTGGTGACACATTTGGCAGTGCTCAGGGCTTACTCCTGCCTCTGTGCTCGGGGCTCAAGGGATCAGAAGCAGCACAGGGACTAGACCAGGGCCCGCTGTGTCCAAGACAAGTGCCTTCACCTCTCCACTATCCCTCGACCAGGCTTCCCTGCCTCTCCCGGAAGCATGGTGACATCCCAGGGCAGCCGTGCGGGTGTGTCCCAGAGAAGCCGTCCTCTCTCGACTGCAGAGAACCAGAAAGCAGCCAAGAGCTTCTCTGCCCCGGGAGCCGCTGTCCTGAGCCTTAATGCTGCGTGTCTTGCCCGGACTCCACACACTGCAGTGGCCGGAGGCAGAGAACAGAGAGGACCCCCCAACAGCTCTGCCTGGGGTCACCCTGCCCTGCCCACCACACTCCCCTGCTCAGGCCCGACCACACTGCCCACAGCTAACTCAAGTTTAGAGGGGGCTTGTCTCCAGCTGGGGTGCCCTGCTCCCAGAGGGCTCTTCGTGACACCCTGTTCTGCCTTCTCCCCCTGGAGGTGGGTGGCCAGCGGGGGGGCGCAATTGTAGTCCCGGAGACGGTGTGTTCACCCTCTGAACACGTTTCCCGTCCTGGCAAAAGGGACCCGATGGGCATGTTTCATGAAGGGTCTCAGAGCAGGGAGGGGTCACGGGGGTCCTGGAAGCGGGGCATGGGGAGGCGAGTCAACGATGGAGAGTGGCCACGGCTGATGGCAGCAGGGGGTGCCGGTGGCCTTTAGCAGCCGGAAAGGGGAGGCATGAAGCCCCCCTCCTTTTTTTTTCTTTTTTTGGGTCACATCTGGAGATGCTCAGGGGTTACTCCTGGCTTTGCACTCAGGAATCACTCCTGGCGGTGCTTGGGGGACCATATGAGATGCTGGGAATCGAACCCGGGTCGGCCGCGTGCAAGGCAAACGCCCTCCCCGCTGTGCTGTGGCTCCAGCCCCATGAAGCCCCCTTGAGTGGCTGCGGGAATGCAAACTTGGTGCCACCTTTGACTTTAGCCCTGTCACACGCATTTCAGAATTCTCACCTCTGGAGCTGTGGCGTGATCGTTGTAGTTGTGTTAAGTGGCGGGTTTTGGGATAACTGAGGACAGCACTTAGCTCCTGGGAACCTGCTTTTCTAATTGGATCTCAGGCAGCACTGCGGGGCCGGGGAGCGGTCTGAGAAGCAGAGGTTGGAGTGAAACACAGAGAATTCTATGTCCTTGGCCAACTCTGAGCCAACACAAACTCCTCTCTCTCGGCTACGCCGGCATCTCCAAGCCGGGAGCTCTGACCCAGAAAAGTCAGCTCTTTGGAAAAGGCCTCTTTGGAAAAAGCAGCATTTAAACTTGCCTCTCATTTCTTTTTTTCCTTCCGTTCTGCCCTGAAGCGGTGGCCGCGTCGGGGAGCAGGGCCGGCCGTGAAAAACAGATCCTATGAATATTTTATAACGATCTCGCTAAAATTGCCATTTATCACTTTCTTTGGGGGAAAAAATCATGGAGCCTGTCTGCAGAGCCAGTCTCCACGATGAGGTTGGAAAGTAGAAACAGAGCCTGTGAGTTCTAGAAAGGAAACGAGACGAAGGGAAGTTGGCAATAACACGGTGTCAGGACCTGGCTTCGCTGGCGGGAAGTTGGTCGTTATTCTGCTTGGTCTTATGGTTCCTCCATTCACGGTCCCCTCCCCCCTCGCTCCCCAGGTGACCCGGCCAGTCATGGCCCTCCCTGCCCAACCTTGTCCCCTTCAGCAGGACATCACAAGTCATAATTCTGCTGGCTTTCCTGCCCTGGGCACTCAGCGGGAGCTTAAGGTTTGGTTACTATGGCCACCAAAGCAACCAGCCACCCGCCCTGGGTTTGCCCAGACCTCCAGGGCCCTGATAGAGACCTGGGGTGCTTCTCCCCGGGGCCCCATGGAGGAAGGAGGAGCTGCACTTGGGGGTGCTAATCACAGGGAGGAAGAGTGGGTGGCACACTCCGGACGCAGCAGATGCAAGCAAAGACCCGTGCCGGTCATCCAGAGTCCCTGTGACTGTGGTCCTTGCCGCCACCTCTACCACGCCACCTTGCTCCTCTCCTTTTCCCTCCTCTTCATCTTCTTCTCTTCCTCGCCCCTTAGCAAACGGTGGAGTCTAAGCTGGAGTTTGATGCTGGTTCTGTCTTTTGCCTGCTGCGTGACAGTAAACTAGAAGCTCAACCTCTCTGATCCTTAATTCCCTGACCTCTTAGTAGGGAGCAAGGATGCTTACCTCAATTCTCTGGTGAGACGTCGAGGAGAGACTATATCTGCCGTGTCCCACGCGCAGAGTGGGCTCTTCCTGGAGGTCCTTTCTATGCTCCTACCCGCTCATCCCAACCAAAGTCCTAACTCCCCAAGATCGCACAGGGAAAATAAGGCAGAAACGCACAATTTTGATGAGAAGTGTAGGGACGGTGAGGGTTGGGGGGTTGGGGGGTTAGGGAATTTCTTCTGTCTCCCTGAGGCATCTTCTCAGACTGGTTAAGCAATCAAATTGACATCACACGAGTCGTAGGAGGAAAGGACCCATTTAATTTCATACATTGGGAGAACCTACGTGGATGTACATTCCAAGGTCCGTGGAGGTACAGAGACGGGGGGTGGGTTGCCCGCATGAAAGGGAGAGAAGACTGGGCATCTCAGGGGTGGGGGGCCCCGGGGAGAGGGGGGTGGGGTGTGCTGGTCATCAGTGAGCCCAGGGCTCTGTCATCAGATGGAGGTCCTGCCACCCAGATTTCTCTGCAGTAAAGGCTATTTGGGGGGAGAAGAGCCAGGATCTGCGGTGTACCCCAACTTTCATCCTTTTGGGCAGTTCGCGGGAACGCTACACGTTTCTCCTGGGGAGCTGGGCTGGCAAGAGCCAGGAGCCAAAGGGGAAGTTGATCGGGAAGCTCTGGGCACCGCTCTCCTTAGAGACTCGGCCCCGCGCCCACCCTCACGACCTGGCCTGCAGGCCGCCGCTCCTCCAGCGGGCCGTGCTCAGGGCCTTGGGCACGGTCTTTGTGGGCATGGTTAGGTTTTTGAGACAATAATCCAGGAGGCCGGTGGGGCTCAGCGAGGCCAAGGAGAGGAGCAGGAAGGAGCCTCTCCCCGGCGTGTAGAAGGCCAAGGGGCGCTTGGCCAAGACCGCGTGCTGGACGTCCAGGAGCAAGGGGGACATGTCGGGGCTGCTGCTCTGTTCGAGGTTGCGGACGTGGTTGCGCAGCTTCAGTATGTACTCCTGGCCGTAGTCCTCCTGCACATCGGGGGTGGCGTGCTCCAGAATGTTCTTCTCCAGCCTGTCCCACGTGTCGCTGGTGCCTAAGATATCTGGGACAGAGGAGGAGAGTGGGAAGGCCGGAGTGACATCGCGTCCGCAGGGACGGACAAGGATGCCCAAGTCCCCCCTTGGAAGGCCGTGCCATGGGATGGGATGATGACAGCATTGTTCCACTGTTGGGGGTTTGGGACCACACCTTGGGTCTTGGGGCCCCGCTGGACTGTGCTTGGTGGACCTTATGCAGTGGCAGGATTTGAACCAGGGTCACAGCAGCCGCTGCGTGTTAGGCAAGCGCTTTAACCTTCATGCTAGCTCTCTAGCGCTGGGCATCTTTTTTTTTTTTTTTTTTTTTTTTTTTTTTTTAGTGAAACACCTTGAGGTACAGTTGTAGACTTACAAATTTTTGTGCTTGGGTTTCAGTTATACAATGATCGAGTACCCATCCCTCCACCAGTGCCCATTCTCCACTGCCACTAACCCCAGTATCCCTCCCATCCCACCCCACCCCTGTGGCAGGGCATTCCCTTTTGTTCTCTCTCTCCTTTTGGGTGCTGTGGTTTGCAAAAGAGGCATTGAATGGCAATCATGTTCGGTCTATAGTCTACTCTCATCACACATTTCCCATCCTGAGAGGAACCTCCCAACACCCTTTATTTGATGCTCCCTTCTCTATCTGAGCTGCCTTTTCCCCTAGCGTGTGCAGCTGGCCTCCAAGCCATGGAGTGAACCTCCTGGTACTTATCTCGGCTATTCTTGGGTGTTAGTCTCCTATTTTGTTTCTTTATGTTCCCCAGATGAATGCAATCTTTCTATGTCTGTCCCTCTCTTTCTGACTCATTTTGCTTAACATGATACTTTCCATGTAGTACCACTTGTATGTAAATTTCATGACTTCATCTTTTCTAACAGCTACATAGTCTGGGCATCATTTAAAACACACAACAGAACGGTGCACAGGTGCTGGACTGTCGCAGGCTGAAGTGCCCAGGAAGCCAGCAGCTGGGCCAGAGAGGACACACCAGTGCCCGGTGCCCTGCCAACAGCCAGCACGCCTGTGCAGACGCTGTGTCAATCAAACCACACATGCGATTGTGACATTCACTGCTGTGTTCTGTGGCCGCTGGCACTGCTGTAACTACACCGGTATGTGCGAACGTGTCACAGCTATGCTCAAAAAACAAAAACAAAAAAACCTAAAGATTTCTTAAACTGAATTTTTAAAAGATTTTTTAAATTTAAGGGACTGGAGCGATAGTGCAGTGGTAGGGCGTTTGTCTTGCATGCAGCCGGCCGGCCGAGCTGGGTTCGATTCCTCTGACCCTCTCAGAGAGCCCGGCAAGCTACCGAGAGTGTCTTGCCCACATCATATTCCAAACACAGTAACAACAAGTCTCACGATGGAGAATTACTGGGCTCGCTCGAGCAAATCGATGAACAACAGGAGGACAGTGCTACAGTGCTTTAAATTTTAAAAAATTGATTTTTTAAAAAGATTTCCCTATTTTCTTAATTTTGTTTTTGGACCACGCCCGGCCATGCTCAGGGGTTACTCTGAGCGCTGCCCTCAGGAATCACTCCTGACAGTGCTCAGGGGACCCTCTGTGCTGGTGCAGGGCTGGTCATATGAAAGGTCAGCACCCTAGCCACTGTACTGTCACTACAGCCCCCTAACTTGGAACTTTTAAGTAGAGTACTGCCTCAAATATTCTACTACAAGTCTTTTATCACTATTATATACAAGATAAAATATGTTTATTATGTGTTATCTATTGTATAAAACATACATATACGCATATACATGCATATGTATATATATATAACTATCCTCATGTCTCCAATGGAGACGTTACTGGGCCCGCTCGAGCAAATCGACGATCAACGGGAGGGCCTTTACCTTACCTTACCTTATCCTCATGTCGAAGAAATCCTGCTCCTATGTGTAAAACTTGAATATAATCTAAAATATTACTTTGTCTATTTGTTAAATATAATCTTAGTTTTAAACAATCTATTGAATGTGATTTAAATATACACCTAAGGTTTAATAGATACATTATAAGGGATTAAACCTATGAATGTATTTTAGCATCTACTTACTATATAAAATTTAACCACACACACGTTTAAACCCCTGTTCCTGCTATAGAGTGAATATACAATAAGATGGGTGTTTTTAAAATTCACGATCACGATCATCCTGTTTTTCGTCGGTTGCCTCGAACAGGCCCCAGTAACATCTCCTTCGTCCTAGCCCTGAGATTTTAAAAAGTCCAATATTCAAGGCTCTTTCAGGGTTAGGAGAATGAGACCCATCGTTGTTACCGGTATTTGGTATATTGGGTATGCCACGGGGAGTTTGCCATGTGGGCAGGTCACATTCGGTAGCCTGCCAGGTTGTCCAAAGTAAAAATAAGATAATAAGATGTCTCATTTAAATGTTTTTAAAATTAACCTCCTAATAATTTTATGACTTTTCACAGTCTTTCCTTATTCACACAGACACATCTTATCAAAAGCTTGAGTTTAACCTTATCTTACCAGGAACAAACAACAATCAGTTTCCTCCTATTTTTTTTTTTTACCAGAAATTTGCTTTTGTTCTTTTAGTTTTGGTTTTTGGAGCCTTGTCTGGCAGTCTCTGCCCCCGCGCCTGGGTGTTCCTTCCCGGAGTCCCTTGGAGGGGAGCGGGTTGAGCTTTCCTCCCCGCCCCGACCAGGGCTGCGGCAGCCGGAGACCTCCAGGACCAGCCACCACCATGCTGAGACCACTCTCCGCACACATGAAGGTACTGGCAGAGGGACAAAGCCACGTGGGTTCCGGGGCCGAGATCTCCCAGCCTACTCGGATTGGAGTCGAGCATCCTCCATCCAGATCCTCCAAATTCCAGCAGGCGGGGGTCACACCCACCACCTGGCCCCCTGGCGCCGTGTAATCCCATCAGCGGCCAAGACTCAGAGACTATAAAATCCAGATTCTGGAACCGCGCGGCCTCATTTGCGGCCGCGCGACATCTTAACAGAACTTTTTTTATGACATCTTATTGTCTTATTCCTACTTTGGACAAACTTGCAGGCTATCGAATGTAGCCTGCCCACAGGGCAGAGTCTGGCAAACTCCCCGTGGCGTACCAAATATGCCAAATACCAGTAACAATGATGGGTCTCATTCTCCTAAATAGCCTTGAATATAATCTCAGGGCTAGGATGAAAGAGACGTTACTGGGGCCTGCTCGAGGCAATCGACGAATAACAGGATGATGAAATGAAATGAAAAATGTCTGGCAGTGCTCGGGACTTCCTCCTGGCTGGGCATCAGGGATCGCTCCTGGGACCCCTTAGGGGCTGCTGGGAGTTAAACTTTCAAGGCAAGTGTGCTCCCTGTTGTGCTAAGGCCCGGCCACTTCTCTTTCTTTTTCTCATTCCCTCCCAGGCAACCATCAGAGCTTGAAACCAGAACCACAGAATTCCCCATGAGACAACTCTCAGTCTCCCCAGCCTGGGACCGCTGTTCTCAAGCGTCTCTGGGGCTCATTGGTGATGCTCTGGTTGTGGACAAGATTCGTGGTGTGTGTGTGTGTGTGTGTGTGTGTGTGTGTGTGTGTGTGTGTCCACCCCCATCTCTGGTATTGGTGCTCTGGTGCTGAGGAACCCGCCTACTCTGGGGTCTTTTGGGTGCTTTTCTCTATCTTTACTTAAACCACCCATTAAACGTGGCTGGTCTAGACGGGGGATGGGCCTCGGGGTGGTCTGCGTCGGCTCCCTGATCAGAAATTAGGGAGCAGGATGGAGGGAAGAGGTTCTCAGCCATCAGCAGTGGGGGGAGGTGGTGTCTGCACGATGTAGGCAGGTAGATAGGCAGGCAAAGGCCCCATGGCAACGAAACTTCTAAGACAATGGAATTTCTGGGGGGTCTAAAGCCACTAGTTCTAAGTCTGACCCAGCTTGTGGATGCTGAAAGCGAGACACGATAAAACCTTCTCCAGCAGCAGAGCCTGAGGAGACTGAACCCCGTCCTACAGAAAGGACCTGACAGAAATTACTGGAAAACCCTCACCACCTTCCTTTAATCCGATTAACCCTCAGCTAGCCCAGACCAGAGAAAGCTGGACCCATCCTCTGAGATAAGATCCAGCAGGACCAAAGGTCAAGAAAAGCAGTTTCAAAGACTGCACCCAATTCTACCCACTTGGTAATGAACTCTTATCCAGCTAGAAAGCCCCAGGTGGGGCAGGTTGGAGAAATTCAATAAAGGCCACCCTGAACGAGCGAAGCACGTGCACATGCTGCTTGTGCCCACGTGGCCGAGCACATGTGTCGCCCGCATCTTCCCTCTTGAGATGTGGACTTTCATGCTTTTGTGTCTAACGCTGGGATGTGTGTCGGGGCTCTCTCTGCCCTTGGAGAAGGCCGGGTTCTCTCTTGAGTATGTTTCTCTCTCTCTCTCTCTCTCTCTCTCTCTCTCTCTCTCTCTCTCTCTCTCTCTTCTCTCTGTCTATCTGTCTCTCTCTCTCTGTCTGTCTGTCTGTCTCTCTCTCTGTCTCTCTCTCTTCTACTTTCCTCCTCTCCTTCAAAACCTCCAAATAAAATCTGTTTTTACAGATTTTACTTTCTATCTTTACTTAAACCACCCATTAAACGTGGCTGGTCTAGATGGGGGATGGGCCTCGGGGTGGTCTGCGTCGGCTCCCTGATCAGAAATTAGGGAGCAGGGTGTAGGGAAGAGGGTCTCAGCCAACAGCGGGGAGTGTGTGTGTGTGTGTGTGTGTGTGTGTGTGTGTGTGTGTGTGTCCACTGCTCGTCTACTCCTGAAATTCTTTTCTGCGAGGCGATGTAAGAACCCAGTGACCCTGGGTCCCCAGGGCAGAGGCAGATGGGAGGGGAGGGAGTGACCATCTTCCTCCTCCTTGCTCCACATGAGCCACTCATGAGGCCCACGACATCATGCAGAGTCCATGACCTCACGATCCAATTCCAAGTGGAAGGAGTCAGGGGAATGCTCCTGTGCTGACAAGTGGTCGCTACTGTCCCCGTCCCCCCCTTGTCGCATGTCCCACCAAACCCCCTCCTCCCAGTGGTCACTGTGGGGTTCCGTGGGCACTGGTAGAGCAGGCTTGCGCTCAGACACCTACTCGTTTTGAAGCCTCCAGGTTGGATGACGGAGACTTTAACACCCCACATGGACAGCTCTTGCCTGATGACCGCCGAGAACATGGTCAGGGCCGCCTTGGACGAGGCGTAGGCCGCCAGCCTCTCCATCGGGACCCCACCTGTGGGAACAGTGGGAGGAAAAATTCAGGTTCAAGGTTTACAGTCTGATAGCTAAGCAGCATGCTTGCCAGGAACAGTATCAGCGGTGACAAACACGGGCGAAGCACACGGGCTCTCTGCCAGGGACACCAACCAAGGGATGGAGGCTGGGACTCGCGGCCACCACCCTCTGACCTCAGCGAGATCCGGTCAGCTGCAGTGACCGATGGCCAAGAGCTGAAATCTCTGCTGTGTCTGCATTGATGCTTCTCAAACAACTGGCTTCAACCTAGGTTGGGAAGCGGGTGGCCACAGGGGAGAGCATGCCCTGGAGAGGACAAGGACACGCCACCTCCTGTCCCCAGAACTGCCCTGGGTGGCCCATTTCTAACGTGCCAGTGATCGATTAAATAAGATGTTTCTCCGGCTTCTCTGAACTGAGCTAGCACATTGAGCCATGGGAAGAGGGGTCAGGGCTGATTCTGATTATCACTCAGGAGCGTGGAGACTCACCTGGACTTCTGGAGTGGGAGTCAGGCAGTGGGGAGGGCGGGCATTGGGGGTCTTACTCTGCCAGGCTCGACCCTTCACCTACGATGCTGTCAAAATGAAGGTGACCTGTAGGGACCTGCCGCTGCTGGCTGGTTTGTGGGAAGCCCACTCCTATTCAGACCCTCAATGAGACCCAGGACCCCCGCCCAGAGACCTGCTGAGTAGAAGCCCACTTCTACTCAGATCCTCAGTGGAACCGAGGACCCCCGCCCAGAGACCGATGGATGAGCCCTGCTGGGATCCAGAGATCTGGCCTGGATAAAGAGAAGGAGGCTGGTTATCGCTTATTCCCACTACTGCAGAGTCATCCTTGAGAAGAAACACGAGCGGGCTTGCTCCTACGTGCAGAGAATGAGTACAGGAAAAAGAGAACAGGAAGTCGAAGAAGGGAACACGGGGAGGAAGAAAGGGCGTGGAGGTGAGGGGCAGTTAGCCTACCCGCATCTTAAAACATGTTTCAACAAAAAGGGAGTGAAGAAACCCTTCCCTCCGAGTTTAAGCCCCATGAAGGTTTGGCTTGTCTTTTAAAAGATTCCTGAGGCTTAACCGCTATGATTTTCATACAGATCCTGGCGTCCAAGTATTAGACTCTGGTCTCTGTCTGACCATGAGCAACTAACAAGCTGATTCTAGTTTTTGTTTCTTGGATTTCAAATCCAACCTTTTTTTTTTAAATTTTTTTAAATTTATTTACTGAATCACTGTGGGAAAAGTTACAAAGCTTTCAGGTTTAAGTCTAGGTCATGCAATCATCAAACACATTTCCCTTCAGCAGTACTGATTTTTCACCACCAAGAACCCAATTCACCCCCTCCCAACCCTTCCAATGTCTGTGAGGCAGATGAATTCTAGTTAACACTCTATCTACTTTGATTAGATTCATTGTTTCGACAAAAGATGCACCATTATTATTTAGAGTTTACACCCCAAAATCAGACCTGCTGAAAAGGCATTGTGAAATAATTTGTTTTCTACAGCTGGTCACAAGAATCAAATGATGTCGCGTGTCCGCTATTGCGGCCGTGTATCAAATCCAACCTTTTTTTTTTTCTTTTTGGGTCACACCTGGCGATGCACAGGGATTACTCCTGGCTCTGCACTCAGGAGTTACTCCTGGCGGTGCTCAGGGGACCATATGGGATGCTGGGAATCGAACCCGAGTGGGCCGCGTGCAAGGCAAACCCCTACCCGCTGTGCTATCTCTCAAACCCCCTCAAATCCAACTTTTAAAAACAATTTTTCTTTATTTGTTTTGTTTTTTGGGGGGTACACCCAGCAGTGTTCAGTGTTCCTGATGCTACTACACTCAGGGAGCAGGGATCAAACCCGAGTGGGATGCGGGCCAAGCACGTGCCTTCCCCACTGTGGGATCTCTCTGGACCCACAACTTGTTTTCTGTTTTAAACTGATGAGAATGGCCAAAGAAGTTAAGGCAGTTTGTTCACAATTGCAGCCCCGTTTGCCGTGTCACCCACCCTCACTTTGTGGCTTCTTATACATGAGCTTGCTGTAGGATAACGTTGGTTTGTCCTTTCCTCCTTGCCAAAAGGAGTTTAGGTTTATCAGGTTACACCCAACACAGTGCTCCCAAGTCACTCCCTTTCCTTTGCATGCTTATCTGTAACTTCTCTGTGCTCTCCTCCCCAGCCAGTTAATCACCTTTCCCCCCTAATCAGATTCTGTTAACTTGTAGGTCAGATCCTTCTAAGGACACTGAACATGTCTTGTAAGTTAATATTTCCTTTCTCCTCTCCTTTGAATAGTTTACTGTAAGGCAATGTCCTTTTTGTATGGACAAAGGAAGACAGTTAATATTATGCTTTTGTAACTTAGTAGTAAATTGTCTCTGAACAATACCCACTCCGGGGCATCTGCTTCCTCGATTTAAGCCTCAGTTGCCCTTAGTTCCTAGCACCCCAAAAACAGGGTGCTACACCCTGACGAGGGACTGAATGGACCCAGGGCAAGCTGTGAGCTACCCTGGCATGGAAATGGGCCAGGCCAAAGCGCCACGATACTCAACTATAAGTTGAGAGCATGATTATGGACAAATGCTGTCATGATCCAAAAGTAATGCCAAGATCAGGACCCTGCTAGGGATAGGAAAGACTAATCTGGCCTGAGCACTGTAGTGTGAGATCCAGATGACTCCAGGAGAGCAATTCTATAAACTTAATGTATCTCTTACTGTGTCCACACAAAATGATTAATATTATGAGTGTTGGACTTAATATTATGTCTGTTGGACAAGGAGAGGAGAAACACACCCTTGGGGTTCTGCTCTTGGGTGGGTCGTTCTGCTGAATGAGAATCTGTCCCAGAAGAAGCTTCCCCTGAGGAAAAGACTTTCCCTCTGTTGATTGTATGACCACACCTATGTGTAAGCCCCAACCCCTCGTGTTTTTTCTTTTTTTCTTTTTGGGCCACACCCGGCAATGCACAGGGGTTGCTCCTGGCTCATGCACTCAGGAATTACCCCTGGACGTGCTCGGGGGACCATATGGGATGCTGGGAATCGAACCGGGGTTGGCCACCCAAGACAAACAAGGCAAACACCCTACCCGCTGTGCTATCACTCCAGCCCCAGCCCCTCACGTTTTGGGATTTAACTAAGACTGTAAGAGTGCTCTGGGGAATTGAGAGGGAGAAGGAGAATGAAGGGGAGCAAGAAGGAGAATGAGGGGGATCCAGAGAGAGAGAGAGAAGCAGAAGGAGAATCAGAGGAGAATGGAGAGGAGATTGGGATAAACTGAGATTGATACCCACCAGCCTAGCCCTCGTTCCTTTCTTCGCCTGCCCATCGCCATCGGCCTGCCCAGGGTGGAGGAAGCAACAGAGACCACCGAACACAGGCAGCACGAGAGATAGAGCACCACTGCCCTTTAGTAAATAGTCACTTGGCCAGCTCGAAGGCAGGTTTGCCAAGAGCTGGAATCCGGAGCCAGCCACCTATACTTAGAGCCCACGCCTGTCACTGTTGAACAAAGCCAATTAAAATGAGAGAACTCGGTCTGTGTTTATGGGCCTTTGTCTTCCCAACTGTAAAGAAAGAGGAGTCCGGTACCTGCATCAGAGAGCTATGAAAATGAATGAGCTAATATGAATCACTTAATAATGAATTCGTGTATTGGAAATACCCTTGACACAAAGGAAGCACCACACCAGAGCCGCTAATTGCCTCACTATTCACTCTGCTCAAGTCTTTTGCAATAATCCCTTCATAGCCTCAAAGTTTCCTATGCTCTGTGTTTCTTGGAGTAATAAGAGCAGGAACTTCAGAACCTACCACAATACTTGCTTTTCATAGGAATTACTAAGACTCACCCCCAGACCTATTGGATCAGAATTTGCCTTTAAAAAATGAGCCAAAGGGGTCTTTTGTATGAAAATTTCACTGGCAGGGGAGATTTTGCTATACTTAGCTGCATCCCTGGCCCTCTGAAAGAATCTTCCGGATCCTAAGTGATCTGGCCACAGAACATGTGCTTTCAGAGTGAAGACCCACATGCTGGACAACACGAATATCACGAGGGGGAGATTCATCTCCCCACATCACTGACCCAACCAGAATCGTGCTTTGGACCAAACATTTAACCCACAACTGTCTTTCATGTTTTGTTGGACTTTGTGAGCTAGCAGGCGTGAGGCCTCTGACCTCTGAAACGATAGTTCTGTCGGCCACAGTCTCAGGTGCTGGTTCCCGGTAGTGATAAGGATCCCAGGCTACACGGTCCGGGCCACGAGCACCCCTGCATGTCCAGTGAGACTCAACTTTCAGCCTTGCTACTTGTTAAAATCCTATCGCCTGTGGTGGGGGCCGGAGCAAGAGTATAGTGGGGCGGGCGCTTGCCTTGCATGTGGCTGACCCAGGTTTGATCCCCGGCACCTCATAGGGTCCCCTGAGAGCTGCCAGGAGGGATGCCTGAACACAGAGCCAGGAGTAAGCCTTGAGCACTGCCAGGTGCGACCCCCAAACAAAGAAAAGAATCCTATTGCCTGGGGCTGGAGTGCAGCTGTTAGGGCAAATGGTTTGCATCCTGCTGACCCCAACTCGATCCCTGGCCCCACGTGGTCTGAGTACCAGAAGCCTCCCTGAACAATGCTGGGATGTCTGGATAAGCCCCTGGCTTTGCAACGCTTCATCCTCAGGTGACTTGTGGCCCAACTGGCCAAAACTCACCAGGAGGGGGCACCAGAGTCTCCTGAGCACTGTTTGGGAGCATCCCCTGCCCCCACAAAAAAAATCCTCATTGCCAAAGACAACGAGGCAAAATGTTGTCAGATATCTGATCTGTTCATTTTCATTTCATCAGGGAAAACTTGGTCCTCAAACAGACGGCTGACGTACTGGGCCCTGGGGAGTGGGCAGGGACGGTGCTCTCAGGAACCGCACCGAAGGCTGACGTCATCCCAAGCAGGAAACTGCTGGGAAATGTAGGAACTCATCTCCAACCTGGCTGAGGAGAAG